CTACCAATGAGCCGAGACTGTGTACGTATACGGCATCTCGTCGTGGATGTGTGGATGCCACCTCATTGGAAGCAGTCGCCTGTCCAACTCTGAACGCTCCATGAAAAGCTCGATCACGAAGTTGCTTCTTATCGAATCAAGGCGGACAAAGTGCATGCTCTGGCTTCTGTCGCGCGGGTTCGGGCCAATTTCCGGACTGACGAGAGACTCGACATGGCAACTAGGTACCGCACGCACATTCATTGAAATGCAGGGCCATTTCGCGTGGCACTGCTTTCGTCTGTTATTACTCGCTTAGGTCGTGACCAACTTCTCTAGCGATCTCACGCGCGCCGCCTATGCTACAGTAACCATTGGTGCTGGTCGCTGCTCCATTTGGTGGTGTGCGTGTTTCGGTATCGGCATGGAATGGCTGGAAGGTGTCATGATGAGAGTCGCTCCCTACCTTAGGTACTGTAAGCACTTCCAAGTGGCTTGTTTGTGAAGAACGCGTCGAACCAAGCCCCATGCAACGTGGCAACCATAGGATGCGTCATAAATCATCAGAGGAAGCACCTACCTCGAGCTGTGATACATGACAGAGAGCCATGTTCGATAAGCAACACTGGGTTGGCCATGGACACACGGGCCAAAGTTTGGCGGAGAGCGGGGCTTCGACCCAAAAGCCCAGTCAAGTGCCACCTGGCTTGTGCTCTAGTATGTCTCGCAGGGGTAGCTTCAGCCACGGTGGCTCGAGCGACGACATCATCCTGACCAAGTGCCGTTGGAAGCCCACTGCACCCCTCTCCGCGACCACGACAACCCTACCAGATCGACGACGAGACTGCACATATTTGTACATACTTCTGAGGTGCTTCCAGGCCCTTACAGAATGGCTCGACTCTCCCACGCACTGGGCGTCACGCCAGCGGCAACGCCTGAACGAGGCACTGCCGAACTAGCCCAGCTCCTCTCCCGACTCGAACACACGATCCTCCGCGCAGACCAAGCGCGCGAGCGAAGACTGCGGTCGAGCGAGTTTGAGAGAGCGCGCATCAACTCGGTAAGAAGTCTACACTTCGCAGCCATGCGTCGATCTGACAAGTCGTCTAACCTGGTCACCGTAGAACCTGGACTACGCGAGGAGTCTCCTCACGAGACTGGAGCAGGAAACGATGGGACTGAAGTTTCAGGCACGGAAAGCAGAGCTACAGACCGACCTGACGTCAAGCGGAGCTTTTGGAGAGCTTGTGGATCGTATGCACGATCTG